AGGTCTAATAGACAATGTTTTATAATACTCCTCTCCAGTAGATCTAATAGACAATGTTTTATAATACCCCTCTCCAGTAGATCTAATAGACAATGTTTTATAATACTCCTCTCCAGTAGATCTAATAGACAATGTTTTATAATACCCCTCTCCAGTAGATCTAATAGACAATGTTTTATAATACCCCTCTCCAGTAGATCTAATAGACAATGTTTTATAATTCTTCTCTCCAGTAGATCTAATAGACCATGTTTTATAATACTCCTCTCCAGTAGATCTAATAGACCATGTTTTATAATACTCCTCTCCAGTAGATCTAATAGACAATGTTTTATAATACTTCTCTTGGTAAATGGTAAGTTATATAACATGTGGACAACAAGGGATCACTGTTTTAAAATGTTCCTCTTCAGTAGGTTTAATAGATAGTAAGTAATATAACATGTGGACAACAAGGGATCACTGTTTTAAAATGTTTTTGATCAATAGGTTTAATAAATAGTAAGTAATATACCATGTGGACAACAAGGGATCATTGTTTTAAAATGTTCCTGATCAGTAGGTTTAATAAATAGTAAGTAATATACCATGTGGACAACAAGGGATCATTGTTTTAAAATGTTCCTGATCAGTAGGTTTAATAAATAGTAAGTAATATACCATGTGGACAACAAGGGATCATTGTTTTAAAATGTTCCTCTTCAGTAGGTTTAATAAATAGTAAGTAATATAACATGTGGACAACAAGGGATCATATGAAATATTAAACCCACCTTTTATTATTTAAGAAATGATTCAATCCCCTTAAACAACTCTTGTATGGTGCTGCCTCCACTATAGACAATGACATCTCATTCCATAGGTGTCTTGCCTGTCTTTTTTCCAAAACTTGTACTTTTGTCCTCCCGTCCTATTATTATCAGAATATAGCACAATGGAATCCGAGGCTTTTAACTAATAATATGGCCTCTTGAGTCATTCATAGCACAATGGAATCCGAGGCTTTTAACTAATAATATGGCCTCTTGAGTCATTCATAGCACAATGTAATCCGAGGCTTTTAACTAATAATATGGCCTCTTGAGTCATTCCAGTTACCATCCTCTGAAACATTTTCAATAAGTCAATATCCTTGCTTAGATAAAGAGATCAGAATTATATTCCAAGTGAGGCAGGCCTAACTAGTGATTTATATAAAGATAAACTTTCTTGTTTCGACTTGTAATCATCGTATATTTAAATACATTATAATATTATATTAGTTTTACTCCTACCAACATTTCAATGTCTTGAATGATTTATCCACCACTCTGCGGGTTCCCATCTTTATATAATAGGAGTAAAAGGCAGTACACATTTCGACAGATCTAGCAAACTCCACAATACAATATCCTTTAGTCATTACACCAATATTTTCACTATCTTATCCACTCTGTGTTATCTATATACTACTAAAACTCTGAGATTGTTTGTGTGTGTGTGTGTGGGCTTGTCTGTAATTAAGTACAGCAAAAACGGCGCACAATACCGCCATATTTGTAATGAAATGAGAATAGAAACAGAATAAAACAAGTTTCGTTAAAATCGGGTCACGGGTTACCGAGTTAGCCCCGTTTTTCGGGTCACTTTTCGTACATTCCATTATTATACAACAATATATGCACAACAGAAATTAAATGATGAGATGAAAATGTGTTATAACGGCACGTAGAA